TTCTTATTGAGAAATCAAGAGCCACAAAAGAAATTGTACTATGGCATTCGATATTACTAAAATTATAATTTCCAGAGTAATTTGCTATTTATTATTTTCTCACTGAATTTTTGATTTTAGAGAACAGAAAATATTGTTATAATTGTCAATAATCACAGGCCCATATGTATTAGAATTATCAGGTCTAGCTAAGTTAATATTCAAATATTCCTGAAAAAAGATTTTGGAGGAGATAATTCATGGTAGGATTACATCTTATTCAGACATTATTTAGGTATACATGATTAACTACAAAATAAAATGTATTTTATTTTAAAATTTAGGACAAATTTTCATTTGCCACTTAATTTCAACTTCTGAATATTCAAGAAACTTTAAATCAGCTATGATTTTTGTCCCTAGATAGAAATATTTAAATTAATTTTGTAAAGATCTTGTTTTTTAAATGGATAAAAGGTATCACAAGCATATCAAATTCTATGATGTGTATATCAATATGCCCAGAAAATGAAGGAAATAAGATAACCTTGTAAGTAGGTTATTTTTCATCTATTGTATGCTTTCTTTGTGTTAGACAATTTGTTGGTCCTCTTCTTTAAAAAATATAAATTAAATTATTTCAGTCTTTTTTTCCAATTGCCTTTAAGCAAAAAAATTAGGATGTTAGATCTTTTGGAGGTAAAGTTGAAATAGAATAAGTGTTTTCCTCTCAGCATTCTATATTTATTGATTGAGACATCAATAACTGATGTAAAAATGCTTTTGAATAGTAGTATTCTGGTTTACTAAAATAGATCATTGTTCAGATTTTATTCCCCTAGGAATATCAAGGGCATTTTAAGAGTAAAGGAGACTGAGGCAGCACATTTGTGCTTGCATCACTCTGGCTCCTTGGGAGGGAGCCTACTTTGGAGGTAACATAGTATAAATGAAAAGAGTGAGGGCTATGAGACCAGTTTAGTTAAAAACACATGCTATGTGCCCTTGGCAAATTACCTAACATTTTTTATCTCATTTACAATATGAGTAAAACAATAGTGAATTTACTAGGCTGTTGTAAGCTGAAAATGAATGCTATGGACTGGATGTTTGTATTTCCCCCAAATTAATATGTTGATGCCTAAACCCCAGTGTGATGATATTTGGAGGTGGAGCCTTTGAGAAGTAATTAAGTTTAGATTAGGTCATGCGGGGGGGGGTCCCCACAATAAAATGAGATTAATGACTTTATGAGAATAGGAACAAACCACAGCTGGTTCATTCTCTGCCCTGTGAAAACACAGTGAGAAGGACACACTTGTCTATGATCTTAGATTCCCAGCTTCCCAAACCACGGGAAATAAAAGCCTATTGTTTAAACTACCCAGGCTATGATATTGTGTTATAACAAGCTGAGCTTACAAAAGTAAGAAGGTAATGCTTAGAAGAGATGATAAGATGTAGGAGGCTCCTTTCCTTGAATTATATATTCAAGAGGAAAAATAATGTTTGTTAGATTAATGAAGTTAATGAGGCTACATTGGAATTTCTCTAAAAAGAACCACAATATCTCACATCCTACATCCTACACAGGTGGAAGAAAGCCACTCTGTACTAAAGATTTTCATTGTGTCACAATTTTTATGGGCACTCCAGGTCTAAAACAGGGTGAGTTGCCTTCATTCTTTTCCACACGCAGAAAGTGATATCATTTTTGTTTTAGGGCTACACTACTTTGAACTACAACTAGGTTTTGAGCAAGATTGCATTTATTGTAAATAAATAGTTCATGAATATTTTTGTGGTTCTCAATATTGTTGAAAGAACTTGGCACAGATTAATTTTTGAAAAACAAAAATTTGGCAGTGATAATGTATTTTGTTTGTTAGAAAGTTAGGGCTTCTTTGTTTGGTTGGTTGATCATTGGCTGTTTGTTTTTATGCTACACTGCAATTCAGCTTTTTATTAAGAACCCAAACTAGCTTATATTTTCTACCACCCTTGCCATGTGTTTATATAGTATATAGCCTAGAGTAGGCATGACAAAGTGAACCCATAGGAAAAGAAAAAGAAAAATGTTTAAATTCCAAGAGGAGTAAATTTCCTCCAAATATTACGTGGGATTAAACTACTTCTTATAGAAAAAGAAAATACACCAAAGACCCAATGAAAATGCCTAAATAGAGTCAAGTCTGAGAATGCAATAAACATGCTAGTATAAATCAATCAGTGCTGCATGGAAATAGATGTATCACCAAGGGAAATACCTGTGGCCACGGGGAGTCCAATTCAGTTATATGGAGAACAGACAGCAACTTTCTGGTCAACTCCCTTTCTTTTCCCACTTTGATCTATATGTGGCTCAACAGAGTTGTAAGGGCTGTTTTGAAGCACTCCCTACTTCTGTAGATAATTGGAATGTAGAATTTTGAAGGTGAAAAAGTGGGACAAAATTGAGTCTGTAAGGTTATATTCAGTATTCCAAGTAATCCAATGTGATGGGTTACTACTTCTTGATAATGAAAAAGGTGATAAGGAATGTGGAGAAACAGCACCCACAGGTCAATAAACTGTTCCTATTGTTCCACTGACAAAGTTACTAAGAAAGTTCTTGGTAGTATGAGTGGCATGTGATCATTTTATCTCGGGAATGTGGAGCTTAAATGCATGGTAATTTTAAAACATCTGACCCTTTTGGGGGAAGGTATTATCTATTAAACACACACAAAGTGAACAAAACAAAACAGAATGTGCAATTTCCTTTGAAGTCAATGAATTCCTTTGACTTCAATAACACTCAGAAAATAGTGACAATAGGCTAGGATTAAACCTTGGTAAATACAAGGGGGAAAACACAGGTCATAAACCCAGATTAATCATGAAAATCTTTGTAAACATTTTAAGTTAGGAAAATATGGGCATGCCTACAAATGTTTAATATTGACTAGTGCCTTGCTATTTTATTTAGGCCTTCATCAATAAATTACAAAAACAACTTGAATTACATGTGGCTCTAGGTTCTCACCCTGAGCATATTGATACTTGTAGATTTACACCTTGAGCACTGCAGCTACAGTTTCGTGGTATCACGAGCACCGACTATGGGGCTCCAGTGAAGTAAAAATAGTTCAAGAGATAATTCATAAGTTCACTGTGACTCTGCTAGTATATAAAATCAGTTGAAAAAAATCACTGAGTTCATAGAAATACAGTTTCATGTTTCAATAATTACAAAAATGGGAACAGTATATTTCAGGTGGAAACAGCTTTTCCTCTAGGACCATCTCCTCTTAAGTAAGTGTCCTTTAAAACACAGTCTAAATTCAGAAGAGATGATTTGCAGCAGAAATTTTACAGGGTTACTTAGGCTTAGCTACACATATACATGCACAGAAGAGGAAGAGAAAGAAAAGACAATAGCCTCCATCAGGAAAACCAGCCCTTTTCCCCGCTGGTGTCCTATCTTTGGATATGTACCGCCTTGGAGAAATGTACAAATCATTTTTATACAGGAAACTGTCTTAGAAAACTAGAGATTTTAGTACAAAGAAATCAATTCGCTGAAAGAATGCCCACATGCCATTGTTATGAGTTACTATATATACACAAGAGGAGCTTACACAGGACCCCTGTTTTATAGTTACCAATGTACATTAGCATAGTGGGCTGATACCTTCTCCAGGCCTGAGTTACACTTAGTATTACAAATAATATTATAACAATGCTGAAAATACTGATACAAAACAGCTTTAAGATGATATTCCTGAAAAATATCCCTCATTTTAAAATTGAACTGTTTAATCCAGGTTTTCTTTTTTGATGTTTCAGTTTTAAAAAAGGTTTTTCAAGAAAATACTAGTGTTTAAAACATCTCTTAAAATGTCTATTAAATGGCAGCTATTCTTAAATAGATTATTTTTTTTACAAAGTATAATGCAAAAGTTTATCTTCCCAGAAAACAAAACTATAAACTTCAAAAGTCCAAATCAAAAACATTATTTGTGATACATAGTTCTTCCATATCCTGGGGAAAAAATTATTGACCATTGTATCATGCTAATTTATTTACAGAATTCCAATACTCTAGCAACACATACCAACTTTCAGGACAAATGAAGCTAAATTCCACAATTAATAATTATAATTTTTCTAGTTTTCTATCATGTCTTAAATATTGTCTGGCCCAAAATGTAGATCTGAATATTACAGCTTCTAAAATATAGTGGGGACTTTAGATAGCAGTTTCATTAAGCCGAGCAATTTGCAGTGCATATTGTTCTCTTCTGGCAGAATTACGGACACAAAAGAAAGAAAACATTTGACATGTTTGTCTTTATGCACATGTGTCTTTCTTTAGAAAACCAAAATTACAAGTATAACACATCCCTAGACTCTTGCCTCTTATCAATTCTAATCAAAGTTTGAAAATTAGTCCAAAGTTTAATAAAGCTAGGGGAGGAAACCTTGTAGCTTTCCCCAAAACATAGAGCTCAAATACATTTTTTGTATTAGGAGTTGCATTTCACACATAGCTTTAATAATTTAAACATGTCAGATGCCATGCTAAAAACTATCTCAGTTTCCCTTTATTCATTTCATTTGTGCTCCCTGATGGATTCTGTCTGTTAAAGAATGCAAGGGAAACAGATCATGCAGTAGGTATAACAATTTGCATGGGCTATGTCTAATGTGGCTCCTGTTATTAGCTTTTATCTTTGTATAAGAAAACTGCAGCCCTGATTCCTACTGATTGTTTTTAATTAGTTAAAATTAATTAATTTCTATGGCTGCATACAGCTCTGTTATTAAACATGAAATTTTATTTAGATTAATTGATCAGTCTCATGTGCACTTAAGTATAAGACATGATAGGCCTTATTTGTTAAAGAGAAATATTTGCTATCAAATGAGTTTTAAAATAGTCCAATAAGAGGGCCGGCCGAGTGGCTCAGTTGGTTAAGAGCTCGCTCGACAGTGCGAGCTCTGAGCAACAGCGGTTCGATTTCCAGCCAGAGCCAAGCTGCTGCTGAGCTGCCAACAGGTGGCACAGTGGCTCAGCTAAAAAAAATAAATAAATAAAGTAAAATAGTCCTGTTAAGGATTTATTTCTAAGATTAAATTGCCAAAGTTCATATGTATTTTACTTCCTTCCAAATTTAGATGACTAAATAGTCAGAATAGTGTATACTGAGCTACCAAGACGCTGACTTTCTGTTCCTCAATTCATCATGTATAGGTCACTGTATATAGAGTGAACATGAGCATACATAAAGTAATTGACAATTTATAAACATACAAGGAGAGTGAAATAAAACAATTTTCATATAATGTTCCATCCTTCAGATTTTTAAAAAAATCTGATATTGCCATGACTCAAAGAGCAAGAATGCCATGCTATAGGCATCATTTGACCAAATTCAGCTAACTTGACTACCTCACTGTGCTATGACATAGCATTTCAATATCAGTAGCAAAAACTAAAAGCAAATTTTCTTGAAAATCAGAGCTGTCATTCTCTATTTGGCTAGCGATTACTCAGTCTGAAATCTTTTGTGAACTGGTGTGAACTAAACATTTAGAGGATAAAAGAAATAGCCTTTCCCCCTTTAATAGTATGGCAAGATAAGCTTGAATGTATGTAGTAGAGAGACAAATGTATCTCTAGGTTACATGCAAGCAAACTTCATTCTTCAAATAAATACACCACCAAATATAAGACTTTAAATTCCCTCTTCTCTGTTCCTTCTATTAACTATGCAATTTAACATTCTTTACAATCCCTTTATCTACTTATTCCTCACATCTATTTTCACAGTAACATCATTAAGCGAACAGAATGCTATTTGTTATTACTTTCTGGAACTTCAATGCAGATCAGAGACTGATAAAAATAAAAGATAAATTATGGACTATATAAACCAGCAAGATGGTCCCATTTATTATACACATATATATCATAAAACCTTCAAGGCTATTAAACCTAATTCCATTAACATGCTTGAACCGTCGTTCTAAAAAAAAAGTGCACAATTCTTTGTTTATAATTAAAAAACTAAAAATAAAAAAATAAGAAGTGCATGACAATGTAAATATGAGCTATGCACGAGAAACACTAACCACCTTCATCCTACCCAGAGACAAGAGCAGGGTTATTTAATTAACCATCCTGCTGGCCAAGACTTTGCAGCTCAGTGGTGTGTAAATTATGATGGAGAAAAACATTCTTTCTGCTGTACATGTGTAAAGAGATCGGCCCTCTCGGCGGCTGTCCGAACCTGCCTGTGAAGGTTGAATGCTGTCGTGACGCAGCAGCTTGGTCCTTTGGTTTCTCTGAGAATGTGGGCAGCCCTTCCGTCTTAGCTGTTGGCTTTAGAGAGTTCTGCCCGACAGTGGCCCGTAAATTCTGGGTGACCTCTGAAGTGAGGGTTTCGTAAGTTCCTCTCGAGTGTTTGATAACTTCCACTAGTTCCTTGTCCTTCAACAAATTACTTAAACATAAACTTGATAGTTGACAGGCCTTGCTTTTGTAGGGGCTAGTCTGGTCAGCCGACGAGTATCTAAAACGGTCCTCGGTGGGAGTATGCGTTGCTTTTCTGTCCCTTGTGCTGAGACTTTGGCTCGCAATTCGATTTCGATACGTAGCCTATGGTAAGGACACAGCAAGAAAACGATGTCTTTAAAAATACATTCACAGCATACATAGAATACAGCTATATTTTCACATTTTCTATGCAAGCACCTACATTTTCAACAAGCCTCAAATCAATAGAATTCTCCATGAGATTAAATTTCTCAGCGCAACACTACTACCAATGTGATTAAACACTTGAGTTACTCTAAAGAGCATTGTTTTAAAGACTCCATTTTTAGAGGCGATTTAGGTTTACAATAAAATTGAGAGGGACGTAGAAATTTCCCATATCCCCCCTGACCCCACATATGCAGGACCTTCCCCTAATCAACATCACTCATTACAGGGGTACACTTTTTACCAAGGATGAACTTACACTGACACCTCATAACCACCCAATTATATAATTTGCATTAGGGTTCACTGTTGAAACTGTATATCCTATGGGTTTGGATAAAATGATAATGGCATTTATTCATTATACTAATATCATAGAGTATTTTCATTGCCCTCAAAAAGTCCCCTGTGTTCTGTCTATTCATCTCTCCCCTCCCCTCCTACACCAGACAACCACTGATCTCCCTAATTTTATCTTTTCCAGAATGTTGTATAGTGGGAATTATATAGTGCATAGACTTTTCAGATTGGCTACTTTACATAGGAATATGCTTTTAAGGTTCCTCCATATCTTTTCATGGCTTGATAGCCCATTTCTTTTTATCACTGAACTGAAATACTCCTACATTTTGAAATTCGTTTAACTTCCTAAATTTGAATTCTGTAGTTTTATCTGAGAATACAGATTGTTTTAATAAATAGTGAACATCTATATATGAGGTTATTACATTTTTGTTGGATTTAATATGCTATATTTTCTTAAGTAGGTGCTCAGGTAATTTTAGAATTATCAACATCATTATTTGTATCAGTACAGTAGTATCCTAGAAATTTAAGGAACTAAAACTAAAGTCACAACAATGACCTATAGAGTACTTGAAGGAAATCTCAGCATGTGTTTCATTTAGACTTTTGGATGCACTTCATCAATCCAAATAAGTTCCACAAGAATATGCCATCTTCTTTCTCACAAGAAGTTTATACTCTAATGATAGAAACAAGACATAGCTCATTGAATCATGCTGTGTGGGGGTATCAAAGATTACAAGCTGTCACCAGAATTCCTCTTGAAGAGAGGACTGTCTTGGTTTAGAAAAACACATTGAACTAGAAACTAACTAGCTGGCTTATTGCTCTGGTGGCAAAAGTGGAGGATTTACTGTTAATACAAAGAGAAGGAGAAAATGGAAGAGAAAGGGAGAAAAGGGTACAGCAGATGGTAGTAGGTTAGCACAAAACATACTGAAGGAGCCAATTAAAATTTCTGCATACTTGACATATAAACGGTGTAGTTTTAAATGCCCATCTTTTCTTTGTTCCCTAGAAAACCATTTCTCTAAACCGGATCTCTACTTTGAGCCCCAATTTGCTTATCTAGACATCATCACTTTGATTCATTAATATCGCTGATGTGACATAAAACAAAACCAAAAAATAAACTTGATTTTGACTCTGAAGCCTATTCTTCCCTGACAGTGCTGCCATTTAGTGAGAAGGAAGCTATCAGGCCAACACCTGGAAGTTATCTTTGTTTTCGCTTTTTTCTCATACCCCTTTAAATTAAGTCCTTGCTGATGTAGTGCGAAAAAAGCAACCTCAAGTCATCCGTCCACTCTCTTATATGCACTCTATCCTCCTGACCCAATTCTTGGGTGTATATTAAGCATTTAATAAGTATTTTCCAAATAAAGTTTATCTGCTAGAGATAATAATAGATACTATTTATTGACTGTGTATTGTATTTTAAGCATTCTTCTAGTGCCTTAACACAGTTGATCACCACAAGAGTCTTTTGAAGTAGCTTTTATTGTCCTCATTATACAGACTGGCAAACTGAAGCACAGTGAATTTGTCTGCGTTCTACAGCTAGTACAGGGCAGACTCTGCCTGATTAACCACCAGTACCTTCTGCCTCCTGGCATGCCCGTGGGAATATTTCTGAAATATATCACATTTTTCTAAAATAAGTTACATGCAGCACAATACTGTAATTTAAATCGATTCTTCAAGATTGTCATTACTGAGATGAAATTCCCTGATTTTCTGCAAAACTAAGGTTTATCAGGGGTATTGTTAGGGTGCCCATATATTCAGTAATTTCAGATGGAGGTATTTTACTAATGCCATTTTTTTTAATTGTCTTGATTTCTTAAATGGTCATTCTCATTTTTTATTTTGTGCTTCTTTATAGCACTCTCTATTGCTTCTAATTTGCAATTTGAAGTCTTCCATAGATTTGGACTAGAGGTAGTCAGGCTAGTTGGCTGGTGTATAAAGAAAGCATGCCATGATTTACAGGAGATGTTTCAAGGATTTTCTTAGGAATAAAGGGAATAAATTATTTTGATTCGATTTTCATTGTTCAGGAACTTTTATAGCTTACTTCTTCTTGATTCTTTTTTAATACTTTAGATATTTGGACCTGATTAGAAATATGAGCTTTTAGTTTCTCTTCATCTCTGTGACTTCTGTAAGATGTTTATCTAACTATTGAATGAGTTACTGACAGACTCCATATCAACACTGTGCTTAATATCTGCATCCATATGGTAGACACACCTTAGGTGTAATATATGAACTATTCTGAGAAAAAAAATTATTTCACAACAAAAGAGACATTAGGAAATTCGTCATGATAATTACCATTGGTAATGTTTATTTTTCACTTCTATATCTATAGATGCCACCTCGGAAAGTAGAGGTGTCTGGTGGCAATTCATTACCATTACATTACATCAGGGGAAATATCATCTATTTTCTGAATATGATTATTTTAACCCTCCTGCTATATTATATTAAATACAATTTAATAAAGGTATATTAAAGCAATCCAATAACTCAATCCACAGGCAGCTTCAGTGATCCTTCTCTGGTATAGCATCTGATACCTGCGAGGTACATGTGGATCCACCATAAAAAGAAACAAAATCAAAGAACTCACTCTCAATTTTTAAAGAAAAATGAATTATCCATTCCTGTTTCTTTGGCATAGATTGCTTTTGACGTCTTAGACTTTTTCTCCTTTGTTAGTTCTCTGTGATGTTCACCATTAAGTTCATTTATTACTCATTGATCGTGTACATGGGAGATTGCATAACACAGGGGTTAGTGGCATGGGTTTGGGGTCAGACATATATGAATTCATTTATTCATTTGATAAATATTTAGTGACCACAATTGAGGGCAAGGCATTGCAATCTATGATGGGAAAGACACTCTTCATGAAGGAACTGGCCGTTGCTTTCAGGCAGCTTAAAGTCTAATGGAAGAATCAACCAGAATCGAGCACTTTCTAGCTAGGTGACCATGGCAAGTCACTTACCCTTCCTAAGTCACCAATTTCCTCATCTATGACAGGAAGATTTATATTCATACCTGTATCTACATACAGTATTATTAAGATGTGATGAACGGCTGTGTATAAAATGCCTAAAATTATGCCTGGAACACAGTTGTCTTGATGACAGTGACAATAAAAATTATTACAGTAATAAAATAAAGTGACCAATAGACCTAGAAATTACTTTGGCAGATGCACATTTCATTCATTAGAAGCTAAACCATTATGAATACTTCTATCTAGATTAACAAAATCATTTTATTCCAGAATATTCAAGTAATGTTACACGTATTGTCCTTTGATTCCCCCAGAACACACTCTGAGATGAATATTTGAGACAATAAAGAAAAAGTTTATTGGAGAGTATTCTCAAGCCAACACCTGTGGAGGAATGAAGAAAGCAGAGCCTGTCAAAGGGAGAATTTCAACTCTATGCAATCAAACTATCTCAAATGATCACATAGGGAGATATGAAGCTGGGGTGACTTATCATAGTTGTGCCCAACTTAGGCAAGTGGTTAGGGGCCTTATACTCTTGCATCAAGGAGTTATTGGACAAAGCTACTGAAAAAATAGCTCTAAGTGCATTTCATCAATATGTAGAAAACAAATTGAAAGCGAGTTATGGTGGAGCAGCAGTTCTTAATCTCTTTTTCCCCCATGTGTCAACATGACATAGCCAAAACCAGGGATATATAGATACTCCCATTAAAATACCTTTAACTCAACTCCTATATACCTGTATTTATGTAAACATTTTGAATTCAGAAATGCAGAGTGGTCAGAATCTTGTATAGTTAATAAAAAAAAATAATTTCTGGTTCTTTAGCAAGAGTAGCAATGCATTACTTAAAATATAGACTCAGCAAATGACTATGACCCATTTGACACTATTAACCTGAAGACTGAGTAGGCTACTTCATACTTCATTAGTGCAGAAAATAAATAATAAAGGTACCAGTTGAGGCAATACAATAAATGAATGACAGAACAAACTATGTAATACATATATTAATTAGATATGCATCAATACATAAATTTAATGGCAGAATAATAAAAACTTTCAATACTGTGATGTCAGAGCCATCTCTGTGTACTGTGAAATACTACTAAATATATGAAAAGTGCTCTGAATAAAGGTATGTAAAAATAATGTTACTCACTGAGTAAAATGTTAAAATGTATACATAAATCTTAAAAGTAAGTAGGTCCGTATTCTTTGTTGAGGTACATAACATATACGTTTCAGGTGCACAATATGCCCAATATTATAATTAGACATCTGTATACACAACAAAATGATCACCAAAAGTCTAGTTACTATCCATCACCATACAATTTATCCCCTTTACTCATTTTACCCACTCCCTAACCCCTCTGGTAACCCCTCTGGTAATCACCAATCTGTTCTCTGTAAATATGAGCTTATTTTTGTTTTGTTTGTTCATTTGCTCTGTTTTTTAAGAATCAACACATGAGTGAAATCATCTGGTATTTGTCTTTCTCCATCTGACTTATTTCACTTAGCATAATACCCTCAAGGTCCATGCATGTT